GAGAGAGAGAGAGAGAGAGAGAGAGAGAGAGAGAGAGAGAGAGAAAGAGAGAAAGGAAGAACTATAGGAATCCATTAAATGTAAACGGTTTACTGGAAGTAGCTGTTCCCGTAGCAGCTAATCGCCGTCAATCAGTAAACTTTTCGAGATCCAGTGCCCGCTCTGTCTGTCTGTCTGTCTGTCTGTCTGTCTGTCTGTCCTCCTTCTCTCTCTTACTCACTATCTCTCTCTCTCTCTCTTTCTCTCTCTCTCTCACTCTTTCTCTCTCTCTCTCTCTCTCTCTCTCTCTTTCTCGCTCTCTGAATCAGAGGTAACGCCTGATAAATAAACTTCATTGTGATTAAAAGAGATTAAAACAATGAAAGAAGTAAACACAGTCATAAGACTAAAACCGTGGATTCCCTCCTCGCAAAGTTCAGAGACTGCGCCAAGGCTCGCTCCCAAAGTCCGACAAAGTGCAGACATCGGACACACTGTTTGCGAGAGTTCAGAAACAAACATGACGTCACGTCTGGAAGGGATCGTCAAGACTTCGTCACGAGTTCAGCCAGAGGCGGAGGTTTCGAAACGCGAGCGTGACGCCGAAGAGTTCTGCAAACTTCTTAGATTACCCAAAATTCTCTTATGGTTTGGCGCTTTGAAAGTTCCCACGAGAGTTCCACACCTGCCCAGGAGCGAAAGCCAGAGATGCTGTGGCAAGGTCTTATTCCATATGTTCCAAGCATGTATGTTCACCATGCACGTTCTGAACATGGTGAGAGTTATCTGTCTTTGTGTGGACCATATCCCCAGCTCTGAAGATACGTCAAGAACGATGGCTATTGGTGCCTTAACCTTCATGTTGTTTGGCCAAACCCTCTACATCTCCGAACATTGGACTTTGATGTTTCGATTCCAGAAATTTCAAGACCATCTGTGGCAGTACAACAGGGATTTTGGATTTCTTCACGACCTTACTAAGCATAAGAAATTCGTGTTCTTCTTGTTTGTCTCTGGTGCTGTGAACAAAATATCGTTCACTTTAGGCTGGTTGCTGTTTGGTATTATAAACCATATTGAGTTTATAGTGTACCCGTTCAAAGACATTCATGATATCCGTATTCTGATTCTGGGCTCTCTCAACAGTGGGATTACTTATTTCCTCTCGGGTGTTCCTGTTTTCGGTTTCTTCGTGCTGTACACAGTGATCCTGCACGTGCTGGTTCATGAGTTCAAGGCCACGGCAGAAGTCATGAGACAGACGTTGTCTGGTGGAGATGGAGGGCAAATGGAGGTGGAGTTTGATCAGCACAGGTACGTCACCACACCCCCTATAATATTTTTTTCTTTTTTTTTTTGTTAGCTTCTGTTTATTTGTTTTTGTGCAGTATGGTTTTAACGAATCACGAAGAGGTCACTGGCTACTGTGGTGGGGTAGTTAGGCTCCTCCATGTGGCACACTTCGATTTCCGATGGTCCTCACCTGTCTGTAGAATTGCTATATACCACTCAGCCTGGGTTGGCCCTGACAGACAGGATCCCTTGAATAATTTAAACCACTGTGTCTATTGTGGTATAACATAATTTACAATAAATCAGATACAAATATGTAATTTCAAATTAGAAACACCAGATCAAGTTGTTGTTAGGTGTCGGCTGTTTTGTTTGATTTTTTTTCTATGTATTTTCGGTTTGCATTTCAGGTTATAAATCTAGCCGTCTTCAAGAATTGCATTTGAAGAATGGAAAGATATGTCATACTTCTTTTAACATTTCCGAATTGGCACACAGTTAGTTTAGCTGTGTCATGTTACGTTACAATGCAACTGACCCAGATTCTAATTCCTAAGAGGGTGTCCACTTCTTTTGGTTCATTCGGGGAGTAGATACGTTTCCGTGACTCTCTACTCTCAGGGTTCTGGCCTACTCACCCTAGACCAGTGGTTCTCAACCTTTTTCAATCCGCTACCCCCATTTGATTGTTTGGCAAATGGAACGACCCCTCATACCCCAACCCCTAAATAAATTGATAAACAAACCCTTTTAACCCCCCCCCCCCAATAAAATGCATACAATCCAACAGCAGACAATTAATAAGACCTATATTACATAGTTGATACAGAACAATAACTGTACCTTTGATGTTTTAGATCACTCCTATTTCAAGCAAATACAAATCGATAAAAAGGAGAGAACACACACACAGACACACACACACACATACACACACACGCACACGCACAACACACACACGCACACACACGCACACATACAGATTTAAAGAATTAAAAAGCTAGTGAGAGGGCTATACCCTCGGGGAAGTCTTGGATAAAGCAAGGTGCATATCATCAGGAACATCCAGCTTGTTCCTTGCTTTTGTCTTGAGTTGGAATAAGGGTAGAAAATCTGCTTTCGCAAAGGTAAGTCGAGGCAAATGGGACAATGACCCAAAGTGCTGTTTTGTTGACCTGAGGGTATAATTCCTGGAGTGAACACCAAAACTGTGCAAGAGATTTCTCAAGAAAGGTGTCGCGTGCTGACGAATCGAGGCTCCCTTCCAAAATCTCGTCTTGAATGTGAAAGGTTTCTCACAAGAGCTTCTTCACCAGAGTCAAGGTCAAGAAAATAGTTCTTGAACCTTATCTTCAAGTGATTTCAAATGTGCAGCAATGTCAACTTGAAGATCAGCAGATCAGGTCTCCTCTGGATTTAACAGCTTTGAAAAGTTGGTAAACAAAGCAATGTTCCCCTTTGTAATTTTCCGGCGTCAGTTCTGAACTTTTGACAGAAAGCCACTCAGAAAGTCTTTAAACTGTAGAAAGTGTGTCTGCTGACCTTGAAGTTTTTGAGTTGAGTTTGTTGAGGTAGTCAAACATATCAGACATGTCGGCAAGTTTTAGGATCCACAAATCATTTGAAAAGAGCCTTCTGACTTCATCTTTTCCTTGCACTTCCAGGAAGAACTTGATCTTAGCTCGAAGACGCGACATACAACGTTTCCTTTCGATAACCATCGAGCCTGAGTGTAGAAAAGCAGTGTTCCATGATCTGCACTCATGTCTGAACAGAGTTCCTTGAACAGTCGGATATTTAGGGGGCTGCGTTTAATATAATTGGCAATCTTAACAGTCGATTCCAACGATTCCTTCAAAGTGGGATTGAGAGTCTTGCAAGCTAGTACATATCTATGTATCATGCAGTAAATGCCTATTGCATGTGGTGATTTGTCCGTCACTTTTTCCTGAAACCCCTACTCAGATCCCATCATGGCTGGCGCACCATCAGTACAAATACCACACACATTCTTTCGTTCAAGACCCTCGTTTTCCAAAAAGGAGGCTAACTTGTTCATGACATCATCAGCTGTTGTTGTGGTGTACAGTGGGGTGCAAAAAAAACCCCACACAACCAAACCCACCCAAAAACTTTCTTCTTTCACATCTTTTCCCAAAACGTATCTCACAAAGACCAGTAGCTGTAAGCTCGATGCAACATCAACAGATTCGACAAGCTGGAACGAGAACACGGAGGAAGCTTTGGTCTCCTCTACAACCTGTTCCTTAATGTTTGAAGACATGCGTGCAATACGCCTTTTGACAGTATCATTTGAAAGGGGAACTTGTTACAATTTCTGTGCACTAGCCTCACCTAACTTCAGCTGTGCCATCTTTATCGTGCAAAGCTTTATAAGTGTCTCTCCAATTGTGTGAGGTTTCTTTTACTCTCTCTCTCTCTCTCTCTCTCTCTCTCTCTCTCTCTCTCTCTCTCTCTCTCTCTCTCTCTCTCTCTGTCCCTCTCTTCCAACTCCTTTGTCAAATTTCCTGACATAGCCTTTCCTGTGTGTTTAGTTTTCTGCCACACAACAACATAATTATATACGTTATAGATTTTTTTTCTCAGCTAGGCCTATGATCCTATTAGAGATGACAAGCAAGATGCCTACATGGAATTAGAAAGAGACAATAATTATGAAACGGAGTTTCCGTGATAATATTTTTAACAGTGATGTCCCTTGGGCGTGGGTTAGATCTACGCCGGGGCCAAGAACTAGAAGTCAGCAGGAGTACACACATTAATAATAATAATAATAATAGATAGCATTTGTATAGCGTATATCCCCGCTCAACAGCAGGCTCTATGCGCTTTACACTATATTATTACCCCAGCAGACCATAGAACACTCCGAAACATTCTCAGCTTCCCGGGAAGCATACATTAAACCCCGGGCGAGACAGGTCTGGATGAAAATATTATGCATGACTACCATGCTCCCCCCCCCCCCCCCCTGTTACCCCCTTCTCCGAAGCCAGCACTCATGTAGCTCGTCATATACGAGGCTTCAAGCTATTGTGCATTTTGAAAAAAGAGAACACTGCAAACTAAATCTATGATTGGCCCACATAGGCAGGACAAACTGGTGTAGCCTTGTTGTTTCTCTGGCCTCGTTTAGAAGTTCAGGCGTTTACCTTTTTTTCCTTATTTCCGCCTATTGAAGAGGGGACCGTATTTTGAAAATTGCCAGGGCAAGAAAAAGAGCAATGTTTTAGTTTTCAGAGGGCCATTTAAGCACAAAATCTTCAATGATCTCGCGACCCCCCAAGAATGGTCTGGGGTCTCGACCCACAGGTTGAGAATCCCTGCCCTAGACAGACGTTAAATTGGAACTCGTGCTTCTAAGGTAACCTAACAGAATTGCAAGGGGTGTTAAACAGACAGCAGAACTTAAATTCTGTTTAGGGTTTGTATTTGGCCCAGCACTACTCGATCACTGTTGTGTCGATACGTTTTCTATACTTTTGGCTGGAAAGCAGGCCTCTCTTCCCTGTATATCATGTTTATAAAAGGGATTTTATGTTATAGAAGTAGAACTGTGAACTCTATCTCTAGATCTAATCAGAAACGAATGTCTTGAGAATAAAGAGTATTACGACTGCTCAGGGTAGGACTCCGTCATACGGCACGATTCCAAATGACGTTTGGTGGAGTCTTACACCAAGTGGTCAATTTGTTCGAGGGAAGTGTGTTAGTTTTCAGGAGCTGTTTCAATAATAATCATAACTGAATTGGTTTCTATGGTAAAACAATTTTTTATCATCAGTTTTCAAGTTTACCCGATGTTCATTGTAGATCTAAATGTATTGGTTTGTCAAACAGAACGCCCAACCTTGACAAAATAAAAAACATAATCTCAAACTTGATTGTGGATTGTGTACAGTTGATTCGTTTAATAGGGTGTTATACACTAGATCAAAATAGAACAGTAAATATTCTATAATCTTTAAAACAGCCTGTGGTGAAGACATACATGTATTTATTTTACCACGAGTTGTCAAAGTTACTTAATTAACTGACAACTTTTTTGTTAGTTCATCTGTCTGTAAAATGTTTACCCTAATCAAAACCAAACGAAAGTCAAACTTGTCTGTTCATCGCTTAGCCAGCTACTTTGTCAAGTAGGATGTTAAACCTACTAATCAAAACCCAGTCCTCATCTCCTCAGGGCGCGCCACTCATGTTTGGCTCAAGTCGTGACCTCATTCAGCCACCAGACACAAACGTTTGTGACCTTGACCCTTATCTTCTTACTGATGGACATCTGTTTGTGCGTGTACGGCGTGAGCAGCTGGCAGGCAAACACAACCATCATCGGGTGTCTGACCAGTGTGGGAGCGTTCCTCGTCTTCACCGTCTGTGCGCTCGTTATTCTGTGGACGAGAGTCCATACTGAGGTCAGTTACACACATATGTACAGTGAATCATCATCATCATCATCATCATCATCATCATCATCATCATCATCATCATCGTCATCGTGGTCGTCGTCGTTGTTTAAAAGGCAGAGTAGGTAGAAGCGTTTTACGACACGTGTAATACAATTATGTCATATAAGTAGGTATCGAGGGCTATTGAGGTTTACATGGGAGTAACAAACACAAAAAAGAAGGATGAGAGATAAGGACGACAGTTGTTTGATTGGTGGGAAAGAAGGAACAAACTACACCAGAGCACACACTAACCTCTCCCTCATCAGGACAGAGAGTGGTGAAAAGATAACATTATGATCGTTATTGCCCACTCCCCCCCCCCTCCGAACCTTATTATCTTTAAAGCCTACTACTAGCTTTTGCTCCTTCTCTTTCCTGGTTGTGCCATAAAAGAGACCGTTATACATGTAATAAGAATTGAACCCTGAGTTCTTATTAGAAAAGAGTTTTGAAACTTCTGAAAATTACAGATTAAATCAAGTTATGAAAACATTACTCTACGGGTTGTGTGTGGGTTTTCCGAGGGTTTTTTTTTTCGTCATAAGTAAGATATTTTACTTTTAAACTTTACTGGCTTTAGATTATAGAACGGGAACTTATTATTTAAAAAGCCACATTGCTCCCCTCTCCTCTCCTCGTGGAAGTGTTTAGCAGCCTAAGTGGACAAATAACCAATTCTCTCCCCCCCCCCCTTTTTTTGAAAGGGGAACTTGTTACAATTTCTGTGCACTAGCCTCACCT